GAGGAGTCAATATTTCAGACCGAGGATGAGCGTTATGAAGTTTGCTTTTTGTCTGTTTTTTTTTTTTCGAGTTCTAAAGATAGGTGGGTCAAGGGCGGACTCCAGGGGGACCGGGAGAGGGGGAAGGGGGCTCTTTGGGGGAGGGGGACGATGGGGATGTGGAGGAGAGTCCTCTCCCATCCTGGAACTATGCAAAAACTAGGAATAGAATTGTAACATTGATACTTTAAGTTACTTTAGTTTAGAATTACTTTAAGGTTTAAGTTTTGAGATTTTGAAAACTGGTGCCTGCGCCGAAAGAGCTATTGCTCCCTCCCCCTCCTCCTTCGCCCCTGGATCCGCCTCTGAGGTTGTAAAGCTGTTTTGCCGAAATGTTAACCTAAAGATTTGATTGATTTGTGGGCCAAGAAATCAACAGATTTTTTGGACTGCGGTAAAAACGATGTGGGGTCTGTGGACTGCAATGAGCGGGTTTTAAAATTTTGAATTACGGCGCCTAAAATAGCGTTGGAATTATAAATTACAGCACAAGATGATTCTAAACTTTTGGACTGCTGCCAAGAAATAGCAGTGGACTGTTGGTCATTCGGATTTAAAAAATTATGAACTTTTGGACGCACTTAGAAGCTAAGTTCGAGTTTTTGAAGTCCTACATAGGCAGAAAAAATCCTCCCAAAATTTTAGCTTCCTTGCTTTTCTGGCTACCAGTTTAGTGTCTTTGATGCCAAAACTTTCACGTGCCCATACGTTAAATGTGCACATATTTTCCGATTAAAGTACGGATTAAGCTGGATCCGGGGGAAAAATGGCTCCGAAAGAAAATTAAATTTTTTGGAAATGAAAGTTTAAATTTTGTTATTTTAATTTTTTTGTATTTCACTTTCAGCTGGACATCGTTATTGAAGTGAACAAATCAGCGCTGGAGGTTTTGCTGTTAGCGCAAGCGAAAATGTCACAGATGACCAAAGATGAGCTAATCAGTTTTCGTTTGGACGAAGCTTTGGGCGGTAGATCACCATCGATAATACGAAGAGCACTGAAAAGACTTTATGGGTACTTTTCGTGAAATCTTTCATATTTTTTATACTTTTTGTGATATCTTTCATATTTTTTGTGCTTTTTTGTGAATTGGACATAGTAATAACGAAATTGAAGCTTAGTACGTATATGACTTAATGGACCGAAACGTCTTATCTCATTCTTGCCTCCTTTTCTCATTTTTTCCTACTTTTTTTGTTCAGTGCTCCTTAGACTTTGGTATCCAAGGTGAACCGGGATGCTACAATTGGCTTAGCTTTTATGAGTTTTTTGGCCACCTATTGGCTCTGATTCTTGTCATATGGCCAATCTACTTCCTCCCGGTGTACATTGTTTACGCCAAAATCGAAATTGTAACGTTTTTTTTTGAAAATGGGCTGCAACTCCGTTACACTTGCTAAGCATGGTTGAATAGCCTTGTTGAGTCACTGTTAGATTTAGCTGTTTACCAGCTAGGATTTCTGTGTGTGGCAATTCGCTGAAACTTATAACGCATTGGAGTCGAAAAGTGTCATTTCCAAAGTTAATGATATATTGGTACCAGAAAAATTGTCTTATAAATTTTTAACGGGAGGAGAGCGGGGAGGTAGGGAGGGGTATTCATCATCCACTTTTTCATCTGCCTGGATCCGTAGCAGCTCCTTATTAAATTTTTTTTTTTTTTTTTTTTTTTTTTTTT